ACTTTGTTATTGTGGGGTATTTTGTTAAATTATGCTAATTCATTCCTGTTACAATACATCTTCTGTTGTGTAATATTACGACTCCCCGGTGATAATTTACGTGCTGGTTTTTTTTTATCTTTTGAAAAGTTGGGATATTTTTTTATTTTTGGCAAAAGTTGGGGCATTTTTTTTATTCTCCCTAAAATTAAACTTGATATTTTTAATGAATCCTAGAAAAGTGTTTTGAGCAAAGTTAGCACAAGCCCATGAAACACAGTGCTTGCTGAGAGCTTGTGTAAGCAAGATACGACCGTTTGACTCGATTCAAGGCTTTGGTCATATAGCTTTGCCAGAGACGTAACGTGGCTGTGCTCGTATCACGCAGCCTAGTTTGACTGGCTGCCTTTCCGGCGAGGTTTTGACGTAAGCGAGAGGCACCATAACTTACTACAAAAGAACGCACATGATTAACTTTTAGCCAGGGAGGTGGAATTTGAACGTGCCCGTTTTCCATTATGTAACTTACAGCGTTAGACATTGATTTACGGCCAAGACGTCCTGGGTGCAATCCATTGAGGTTGAACCATTCATTAGTAAAATTTGAGTCCGTTTAAAGTCAGGCAACTTCCCTGATCTTTCAACCTATTAAGAAATCTATCAGTCGCTACGATGTGTCGATGGCACGCTGCGTGATCTGCGGAAGAGATAATAGGTGCCTATGTCGTTTTTATTTTATTATTTTGATCAAATTTGTTGTGATTTGTATTTTTCGCCGTTTAAGTGCCGTTAGCTAAACCCGAGGACATTCATGTTCAAAATTTGAACTCTGCAGCTACGATTTGTGAGAAGAATGCGAATGCGGCTGTTCGCTTAAACCTGATTATTACAAACATGTGACTTGCACTGATTTGATAAGATGAAACGAGAAACTATTATTTCTTGCATATATTTATATAATTACTTGCATTACCCCTCCCACTAAGTATTGTATACATTTTTTTTGTCGACATCAGTGTCTGCTTATCTAGGGTTGAAAGGCCTGGTGATGTACACATACAGCTCCAAACCGACTCGATTATTCGCTCTAGCAGGTTTTATCGTCGCATCAGCTCATTTGTGCACAGGAAAAATGTGTTCTTACAAGTTTTCTTCTCGCCTAATCCCCGGCAGCACTCAATAGACAACAAACGTACCAAGGCGCAGCGACTGTCTGGTCCGCGCTCCTTACTCTTCTTCATACGAGCCTTTGAGACTCTGTGGACCAATCTCTTCGTCATTTAGAAAGGCAGGGCGTTGGTTTCTTGCGTCCGAACTTAGGTCTTCTGCGAGTTCATCAAACCCGAAGAAAAGCAATCTTTAGCGCAATTTGTCTTTTTTTACGCTTTCGTAGCTGGTCTACACTCCCACCGTAAAAATCGCTCAGCGCTTACATGGGATGCTCGAAACTAATGGTGACGCACGAGGGCCAAGCGCAGCGAGTGATGCCAATAACAGCGATGGTATCAGGGCAATCCCAAGCTCAAATGCTTCAGGTCTAGAAAGTGCCGCAAGCGTTCAAAGCTACCGATCGAGCGAATTAGATGGCAAGAGATTGAGTGAAAATAATTCAAACTGCACTGACAGTAGTGTCGTACATGATTTACACGATGAGGAGGTGACCATAATGAATGACGATAACGTCAAGTCGATTGACGAGGAAGAAGAAGTCATGGAGGGTTCAATTGACTTTTCAGTGAATCGAGCTACAGTCACAAAAGCAGGTGTCATTTCGTGCTGCGTATTTGTTGGAAGAGTGCGGTGGGGAACAACAGATTGGGAAATTTACTTTGGACAGAAGCAACTGTTGCGTCTGCATTTGAATTTGTACCTTTACTGCCTCCTCACGCACCGAAAAATCATGCGGGGTGTGCCGTTGCCTTGGACGATCTGGCGTGAAAAGCGCGCCGAGAATCGCGTGGCCGATGTGTATGTGGTGCAAGATTACATCCGAGAATTGCTCAAAGACAGGGATTTGCGGAATTCTGAGCCTTTGTTATCGTTTTTAGAGGTGAGCCCATCGCGCGCCATGCTACGACTGGGTCCTTCACTAAAAGAAGGATACGTACACATGCGCATAAACGGACCATTTCAGCTGCCGTTGTACACATGCTTTAATCGAACGATTGAGAAATTGTACCGACATTTGTACCGTGCCTGGATGCGGATTGCCTTCGTATCATCTATAGTGGGGTTTATATTCCCCATTTGTCTTGTCATCATCACGAGTCTACCAACATTTTTCTCCCCACAGAAAGAGTTGGTGGACTCAGATTCTGGCACGAAAGAAGTATCGACGCATTTAAATACCGCCGGAGTTTTCATGGGACTAGCAGTTCTGGCAGGTATAGTTTTCTTGGTGGGGTTTGTGTACAAATTTTTTCAGCATCGACTTGGTGTTATTCGGCGGTGGGTCGTGCTTAAACCTTCGTGTTTTGCTGCATATCGTCATCGAAATGACCGAGAGCCAAGTGAAGTATTTTTGTTTGACAAGAATTTTACAGCCAGGAAGGGAAGTTACCGACAAGGTGTGAGCTGGATGCCTAGTGGACTGGTCGTGGGCAGTAGGGCTGGTGATATTGAGATCGATACGGGACATTACTACACTCGACTTACTGCAATTATCGCTTTATGCGGTGTATGCTACGGTATCATGCGCCTTTCAAACACCATCTACGAATTTGAGTACCTTACATTAAACAAAAGCTTAGGGGAATCTATTTTGGACGCGCCCGGATACGAAAATTGGAATGAGAGCAGCAAAATTGAATATTGCGGCTACTACTTCATCGTCCCTGAAGGTGTGACGGTTTACGCTGAGAGTGAAGAAGAAAATGCTGTGATATCGCAGCTGCAGATGCCATCGTCTAATTCCATGACTGCAAATCTAGATTTCTTTTGGAAGAGCGAAAGTATGGGCTCCAGTTTGAATGTGATTACGAATGCAGTCGGAGGAGGGACGATGGTGAGCGTAGTCAAATCGGTCGATCCCATCAACGATCGTTTTTTTGCGTCAGGCACCAATTACTCACTTCCAATTGTAGGAACGCTTACTCTTGAGGGTGTGATTACGGACGTTGATGTGCAGAGCTTTAGCAATGTTGATAGTTTTTGTGCGATATCTCTTCGCATTGCGCCTCTCACATGGCGATCATATCTCTACTATGCCCTGATTCTATTTGCGGGAGGCATCATCGCGCCGGTAGTTGGTTTCCTGGCCAATTACTTTGTTACATATCTCGGTATTTGGCATCCTCACGTACGTCGAGACCATTGGTTTCGATGCGTGCAGCGTTTGCAGAAGCTAAAGCGTCAGAATACGACCACACGGTTCAATTCTTTTGCACCACAGCACATAAGCTGTATTGACGATGATGACAGTGCAGTTATCAACGCCAAAGCAAAGGCGGCGCGGCTGCCTGTTGCGAATGTATCTGTTACTAGCGCTATCAGTCAGGTCGTAGATTCTGTTGTCAAGATGGAAGCAGAAATTAATTCTCGGATAGGCAATGGGAATCATAGACCAGCTTCTACTCGTGTCGATAGTAGTACGCAGTCGGAAGACTCGTTCGAGATTCCACCTCCACCTCCTAGCTCTGTCAGCTGGCACGTCGATGCAGAAGACACGTATGAAGCGATGTACAAAGCTATTACTACTGCAAAATACGAGATATTAATTGCTGGATGGTGGGTGAGTCCAGACTTGTTTTTGCTCCGTCCTGGCCGAAAGTTACATCCACGCGGCGCTGACGAAGATACAAATGGACAACAAATTAACAAGACGATGTTGCGCCAATTGTTAATGAAAAAAGCTGAGGCTGGTGTCAAGATTTACGTGCTGATTTATCGCGAAGTGAAGTTGGCGCTGACACTGAATAGCGCATACACAAAACGCAGTTTAATGGTGCACCCTAACATTCGAGTACTTCGCGACCCGATATTTCAGATCCAAAGTCTTGGATTTTGGTCTCATCACGAGAAGATTGTTTGTATTGACCAGTCTCTGGCGTTTGTTGGTGGATTAGACTTGTGCTTCGGTCGCTACGACCACCAAGGTCATCCAATTAGTGATCCCGGTGATGACCCGATTTGGAAAGGGAAGGACTACTCCAATCCAATTATAAAAGACTTTGTTCGCGTTAACAAGCCATTTGAAGACTTGATAGATCGTTCCTCCCAGCCGCGTATGCCTTGGCATGATGTGCACTGCAGTATTTCGGGACCGCCAGTGCAGGATGTGGCATATCATTTTATCCAGCGATGGAATTTCGTTTGCTCAAAGAATGACTACCAATTGCGTACTGGCTGGTGCATTTGCTTTCGCTCGCGCCGTTTCAAATTTTTGCCAAAGTGTCTTGTGCCAATGGATTTTAATGGTTGGACGCTGCAGTATCCATCTTCTGACCCATACGAAATGCGCGACGGATCAACTAGGACAACTATTCCCCTCGTTCGAGAGGATTCGCTGAGTATTGAGCCATTTCAAGTTTTGCAATCTGTAAATCCAATGTATCCGTGTACTGCTACAGGCCCTCAATGGCCACCTCCCTTGCACCCACTAAAGCCAGTGCGACCACCTCTCACTAGTGCGTCGACGAATGCGTGCCCTTTAGATGATGGCGAGGTGTTACGTGCTCAGCGCGGTGAGTCAATTCTACAGGTTTTTCACCCGGGCGCCAGTATTTGCAATGTTCAAGTTTGCCGCTCCGTGTCAATGTGGTCCGCAGGAGTGCCTACAGAGGCTAGTATACAGGCTGCATACATGGACCTGATCGCTAACTCGGAACATTTTTTGTATATCGAAAATCAATTTTTTATCTCAGGAATGGATGGAAATGGAATTGTTCGAAATCGGATCTTACAAGCTTTAGTGGATCGCATTGAGCGCGCTGTGCAGCGAGATGAGAAATTTCGCGTGTATGTGGTGATGCCGCTGTTACCTGCTTTCGAGGGAAATATTCGCAGCCATGAGCTTACAAATCTGCATGCTGTTATGCACTGGCAGTTTGCCACTATTTGTCGTGGGCGTTATAGTCTTTTTGAGGCGCTCAAAGGTGTGACGACCAATCCTGAAAATTATGTTGCTTTCTTTGGGTTACGCAAGTATGGGATCATGCCTAATGGGTGTGTATCTACTGAGCAAATTTACATTCATAGCAAACTTATGATTGTAGACGATCGATGCGCAATTATTGGCAGTGCGAACATTAACGATCGCAGCATGAACGGTGATCGCGACTCGGAAATTGCTCTTGTGATAGAGGATATGCAGTATGAGGATGGGGTGATGAATGAGAAACCATACCGACGAGGTGTTACGGCTAGTAAGCTTCGCTTGCAGCTCTTCCGTGAGCACTTGGGACTGACTGACGATGATCTATCGGTGGTGGACCCAACGTCGGATCGCACTTGGCTCGCTATCAAGTCGGTTGCTTCAAACAACACGAAAATTTTTGAGACAGTGTTCGACTGTGCTCCTTCAAACCGTATGCGTGCATTTGTAAACTTTCAGAGCATTGATGTTACACAAATCTTCGAAAATCAGCGTATGAATGTGCTTAAGGTACCCGGCCGATCTCATGTGTGGGATGCGCAGAACTTAAAGGAGGGTGATTATGCACCCTGGACTGATGTCAATGGTGTCCCGATCGCAGCAGATCGCTTAGATCTGTCAGAATTCGAGGTAGACAACTACAGAGACCGAAAGAAAAAATTATTTTCGATGGATCACGATGGGTGGTGTTATGCACGAAATTTCTCTATCTTTCAGGAGGTTCGCACAATGAAGACGGATTACAAGAAACGAGAAAAGCTGCAGCACCTTGTAGCAGATCGATTGATGGCCCAAGTGCGACGGCGTCGGTGGGTGAAAAAAGGCCTGCTCCCACCTCGACCTGATCCTCGAGACAGTTCGTTCAGTGTTGGCAGTGATGACGAAGAACACGGACGTTTCTTTTCCATTTGGCGAAGACTGCAGCAAGGTGACTTTAGCCGCTCCAACTCGGTTAGTATGACTCCGACAAACTTTAGTCAAATGGACTCGAGTGGGGACATTGCGCGGAGCGTCAGTGTCGCAAGCACGACAACAGGCCGTCGTCTGTATCATTCTACTTCTATGCCATCGAACGCTTCAATTGTGATGGGAAATAGCACGTCATCACGACCTATTTTGGCTGGAACTGCGCCGTCGTGCCCGAATTCACCCAGTGTTTCAAGCTTCCAGCACACTCCCCAAAGTCCAGCACTCACAGCTGGACCACACAGTACTCGTACCTCGTCACTTTCGGGCACTGGCGCCAATACCCGAACTCGGGATAACACTCCAAGTGCGCGTGGAAGCTTCTACGGCATTTTTAGTGTTGCAGGCGGTAATCGAAACTTTGATACAGACGACGACTCTAGTGAAGCTGACAGCGACTATGGAGACCATGGTATTCGCGCGTCGGTCAAAAGATGGTACTCCACAATGGACGTACTAGACTTTGGACGTCGCTCCAAGTTTAATGCCGAGTATTTTGACACAGATGAAGATCACGTTCACAGTGACGATCCGTTGCTAGAAGACGGTCGTGGTAGCTATCATGCTCCAATCCGTGACGGTCTACTTACAGAAGAAGACGTAGAAAGTTCCGGCGATGAAGATGCCGACTGTCAGATTGGACATGTCCAAACAGCTGCTACAGTCCGCAAGGAGGATGAAACACGTGCGCGCTTCAAACTATCGGAGATTCGCGGCCACCTCGTAGAGTTTCCGCTCGACTTCCTTGTTGAAGAGATCCTTAAGCCGTCAGTTCTGCCTGCCGACATTCATATTTAAGCAGAGGCTTAGATGACAGATAGTTTAGTTCTTGCCATTTTTTGTTTGAGGTTTTCTTTATCAAAATTACGCTATTTTGTTTATGAAGCTCTAATATCCATTGCTTCATTCCAGATATTTTCGTATTTTAACTTTGGTTTTACCTGACCCAAAGTCGGATTTAGGCAGCAGTCGGTGATTTTTGACATGCGAGCGTAATTCGATTGCGAAGGTTGTTCGGTGAAGGGCTTGCCAAACATTGTGCAAACTAGAAGCTTTGGCTTTGCGATGACAGACGACACACAACAAGTAGCACATGAGTAAATTCAATTGGTTGCTGCCGTCGGCGTGGCCAACGACCACGACCTCATGGATCTTCGCTCGATGATGTGGCTACATGAGCATGAAGTAGCAAAACCTTTAGGATATGTTTGCTAACGAAATTTAACCGCCGTACCCCTCGAGGTCGCTGTGCGCAACGACGTAAGATTTGTATGGATCGCATATGGCTCTAAGACACATGCCATATGCGATCTATACAAATCATACGTCGTTTCAAGCAGGAGTACATTGAATGTGACGAGAATATACTTTATAGCAAGTAACATACATCTGACGAAATATGAACGTGGTACACATTAAGCCGAGAATCATCTTCTCCGAGTAAAGTGCACGATATGGTAAATACCGAAGCATCGAAGACGAGAAAAATATACGATCCGAATCCGGAATACCAGTATTGGGGTACTTCACGATTTGCGACTACGCAATTGGAACCGCATAGACGTCCTCGCGATGACCGTGAAGAAACGTTACCGACTAGTAATGCTGTTGAACAACAGCAAGACGGAGCTCGGGTTTAAATAACCTTTTGTCCAGCACTTCCTTGTGTGTGCGATGGCTGAGGCCTATGTGACCACGATTTCGACGTCTCGTCTCACCAGCACCCCGGCCAAGGCTGCTCAATCCCGTCGAGACGTTCGTTGGTTGATCCTGCCCACGCTTGCGACTGGTCGCCCAAAACGGCTTGGTGGTTTGATGCGTTCAGGCGTGCGGCCAACTCAGAATAATTTTGTTACAAGAAACACGTGTCGCAACGGATTGAGTGGTCGCTTTGAGAAGTGGTAGGCACTCGCTTGGGCATACATACGTCCCAGAAAAAAATCGCGGAAACCTCGTCCTACTGGCCTGCTTCTTAATCCCCTGCTGATGGTGCCGCTCTACTACTCCACCCCTAGTCGGGGACCGCGTGGCTTAAGGATGTCTGTTCCGCGCATTTTGTTGCCAGCCCAGGAACCCTGGTTGGTACGCGGGTTTACCGTCGTGTGTATCTATGCCAGTACAGATCGATGAAAGCGGGCTTCTGCCTCAACTGATGTCGACAGAAATGGTTATCATGGGCAGCAATTTTTTACTTTTACTATACTTTCCATCCTGAACTTGACCAAATCAAGCACTTGGAAATCTCGAGCTACCCAACTGTACTTGACTTGCTGCTGGGATCTTGGCGATTGATAGACGCGGTATCGAATGATACTGTCGAGATATCCCCCCGCGCAGATGTCACTACCGTTCAAGCGGAATTTGTCACATATTCATATAAATCCGGACGCGATGAATCCCTCGCTACGGAGCTCTTTGACAAGTGGTACGACTCAGCGACAGCGCTGGCCTAAGTTCAGTATATGACCAGCTTACAACGCTCGGACCACGAATCTGTGATACTCTTACTGCGATCAATGACACGCGAGAAGCTGCTATCTGAAGGATCCGGTATTCGCTTCTGCAATGTGTCGCGTAGGGAGTGCGCAAGTGAAAATCGAGATCTAGCAAACAGAAAGTCTTCACTTATCTCAACTTTCGTCGCAAGGGTCTTTAGCGCATGTATTCTTTTAAAGATCAAGTTGCGCGATCATGACTTGTGTTGAAGCTGATGCGTCTCAAGCTTGCATCAGCTAGATACAGAAATCGGGTCAAACATCGTTATAACGCTCCTCGGGATGCCAAACAAACTCTCACGATCAACTTGTTGGCCGATCCAGCCTCGATGAAATGAAATACCTCCGGAATGGTGACTTTCCTTCAAACCAGATATCATAGACACTAGCGGCTCTCCAGGCTATTGGCATAGCTCGTTTGCGTCATCTCAGTATGCAGGGCGCAACTAAATTAGAGGGCTTCTTTATACTCCGAGTTTTGGTCAGAGACTCTACCATGCACGGCGCAGTTTACGTTTATGAAAATCCGGTGGGTATTCGGGAGGCTGTCGACTCCATCAAAGCGTGCGCCAGCAGCAAGGTCTGTGGCTCTGATGGGGTCTCTAATGTGGCACGTTGCACTCTGACCGGAATTCTTGCGCCTCTGCTCATAGGTTGGTGTTCTTCTGGCACGTTGCCGACGGGCTTTTGCGAAGCATTCGCATTCTGCACATATAATAGGTAGTGACAAGTGGACTTGATTTTCCACCAGTTGTACCTCTGAACACGGATTACAAGCCGTACGCTATAATTCTTCTGATAACGATTTGGACCAAGGTCTCCACAACTTCTCTCGCATACGGGATATTGCTGTTCAGGGGCCATGGACCGCGACACCATCGTAGCTTTTACCGCCGACCGCGGGATATCTACGTCTTACGATGTGACAATAGGAATCCGACCAGACTGTCCTCTCGCACTGGCATTTTTCATTCTGGCAGCTGGTGTTCTGTATGAGCTCATCGCATCGAACAATCAGTTGCGCGCTTCGTTTGCTTCGTCGCATGCATCCGATTCTCTTGCGCCACTGCATACTCCATCTCTGAGAGCAGCGTACGCATCTGTGACGCTACTTTTGCTTTTGCCATATGGAAGCGCCTTGCTTCAGATTACCACTTGTCGATACAAATCGGCTACAGTAATTCTTTTGGCGTTCAATCACTTCGTATCTCCGAAATTTAGCTAATACATTCATCTTAAGATTACATTTGAAGAAATTGCCGCAGCGTTGTTCTGGTCGCTAACAGAGGTATGTGTACAGTAGTTTATCTCGCGACCGACGATTCAGATCTACCACGTGAGATCCATGGGTTCCCCATACCCCTTTCCATCCAACTTGTTTGATACCTGGGCCACTAGATCTCAACAGTATCCGCATCATTCCTTGTAGCTTTCAGGGCGTTGCAACAGGTCATGGCTTGGCTTTATTTCGCGGAAATCAAGATAACCGGTTATGCCCAGCGAGTTCTTGATAGCCGATATGTGTTCACCGAGGCCTCATGTTCACGACTCGTCATTGTTAACCTACCGATGCTTTAATCGAGTGCTTACAACGGTTTATGCACCCAGTGGATGGAGACACTCGCCCACAGAGGGGTAGCAAGGTTGTAGACCAGCGGTTGAGCGTATTATTGTGAATCTAACTCGATTTATAGGCTGCTTTGCGTCAGGTTGCCGGTCAATCGCAGCTGTAAAGATAAATACTTATCTTTATAGGCTTGACGGTACCTCGACAAACTGCGTCGAAACAGCATGATGAAAACAGCAGGGATGGCACCACGTTGGAAAGCAGAATGGAAATAGCCGAAAGTATCAAACCAGCTCTTAGTGCAATTCACAAGTTCCAAATTGCCCGGGGCGGGAACTCAACCTCCCAGGATTTTTGTGGTAAAGACCCATGACTCCAATTTACTGCTCCATGATTCTGGTCGTCGTCTGCGGACCTCCAACATCAACGACTGTTTCATCTCTGAAACCGACCAACCGAGTTTTGGTTCCGGCTCCCATTCACAGTGTAACCAAGCTTTCAACTGCTGTGTGACACACGTATGAAAGACCAGCATCAAGTGCTGCTCTCTCCTCCTGTACCGAATAATTTTCGAATAAAGAAATTTGGGTCCCGGTCGATCCCCAACGGGAACCACCTCATCCATGACACACGTTCATATGAACAAGCAGACCTCGATTATGTCGAGTCCTTGCATCATCTGGAACAAGTCAAACGGCGAACAAGTGGTTGGATGACCCTGGGGCTCCACCCGCAACCATTCCTCAGCCATGCTGTGCCGCTCTAGGGAACATCCTTCTTGTATTTCACGAGAACACTGCACAAGCTCATCGACGCACCTCGTCACACTAAAGCAGAGTAAGAATTACAGAAGCGAGAGGACCACACACCTATAGAATCCTTTTTTTCGTCAGCTCTCGAAATCATTGAGAAGAGTGATATCAACGACCTCAAACAATGCACCAATCGACAACGCCTGCATTTTCACAAATTCACGTGGCTTCGACTTAGTGGTTTGGATGCTACTAAACAGGCTGGTGCTCTGCAGGTAGGTTGATTTTGCATCGCGTGGTCTTGCCCCTCTGTACAAACTGGTAGTCTTTGGTCGACCCACAATATTGCCACCTCCAAGGGCTTCTTAACGTTACCTGTGCTTCAGATCTTGTGGCAGTAAGCTGTGCAGGAACCTTTGGTCACAATTGATGCTTGGGATTGATCATTTTTGAAGTTGGCCGCACGTGGTCACAGGCCCCAAGCACTCGTTCTTCACGACCTGGCGATTCAACAAGTCGTTGACACAGTCACTTATCGCACGACGCTTCAAAACGCCGGGCACAAACTCGACGGACAGTTGCTATAAAAAATCATTTCTTCGACGCCCCGGATACCACACACCACACGTTCCGTAGCTACACATTTGTTCTATTTGATGTAGGCTTACGTGACAATCCTGGCCCCAAACCGCTGGATTTGTAGCGGTCCGCGTTGATCGTCGATCCGCCCCGGCCGAAGTAGCGTAGAATGCTGCCATGAGCTATGCGCACTCCAATAATCAACAATCAAGTGAAATAAAAGGTCTTCTTACAGGACCTCGAACAGCTCGACAGCATTCATGACCTTGTCTTGCTACCAATGAATTGTCGATGGGCCGCGTTGAAGACAGCGCACTCTTAAACGAAAAGAGCGCGATATTTGACCGCTAAAGAACCACGTTTACGTCAACTGTATTTCGCTATCAGGTAGTTGACTGATGTTGTACTTGGTCTCACCATCGTCGTAGGTCCAACAAGATGGCGTTCGCCATGTAATAATAAATCAACAATTAGATGTGTCACCCATTTCACCGTGTTGGTTGCCCACAGAGAACAAGTTGCCACCATGCTCGCTGTTAAGCCGCCGTGTTGATCCATGAGTAAGTTTGCCATTCTGTAGGCAAGATATTAGTTACATTTATTGTACCCAATACATTTCAATTTTAGTCAATTCTTGGATAAAGTTAAGCGACTCGCAGAATCCATCAAGAACAAGTATTCGTATACTCAAACGCGCACTCTTCGTGGTCGTCTTCTGGTAGCACAGACGATGGTAT